TTTCATAAACTAGGCATTATTTATCCAACATTTTCAACTCATGTCAAAATCAATAACCTGCCACGTTGGGAAACCTTAAATTAGAATCTTGATAGTTGACAACGAAAATAAATCAGAAATGAATACCAGAAGAGGAAGGACAGATAGAAAATTTCTTGCTGAAATTCAGATTCATCAACCATCTAGCTAATGTATTTGCTATTGCATAACTTAATAGTTTAACACTTGTAATACTATAACAAATCCCAGAGATCAAGAAAAGAGAAAAATATGAAAGCAGAACGCACAACGTTCCCCACTTCTTCCTGATTAGCAGAACTATTTATCTGACATGATGCCAATGTCAGAGAGAACTCATTGGATGCAAGTAGAGGGGTCACCCTCAGCAGATCCATAATAGAAATAATTTAGCTTCAGAAGAGCTTTGTGTGGAAAGCAATTAAGGAAATCCTTTTAATAAGCATCGTTATCAATATACTAACTGCGGGTTAATCCATTCTTTATGTATTTTTCTGAAAGCTTAACCACATCACCTGAGATTAATTGTGGCTGAAAGTAACACAAAAACTACTTTTAAAAAGATTTTTTTTGGCCAACTTTTAACAAGTTGATTCTGCACTTAAACTTATAGTTGCAGTCGTAGGGAGGCCATTCAAAAACATTATTCTTCACTTTCAATGACTAATCAAAGTCATTAAAATATCAAATCATCTGCCCTATAAAAATAAAAAAGTATCAACTCATTTTCATATTGCATAATCACTGGCCTTCTTATTATATTTATATTCTGGTGGACATGAAACATGGCTTGCTGATGGAAGAACTCTGAACTACATCTCTATCATAAAAAGAAATTATTATATAGAGTTTATTAGCAAATTGGCTTCTTCTCCAACATCCCTGTTTCTGTTTTCTATGATATACTAAAAATTAAAGGGTAAAAGAAAAATCAGAAGAAGAGATACAACTGGGGAAGTTATTGCTCACATATGCATCAGAGAAATTTGATGATCTTGATGTTGATAAGTAGTTGATGTTAGGTAGGCACCGCCACAGTGTGATTACTCAGAATAATCAAATGTCTTTGCTTTATAAAAAATATTGTTATTTGTTTCCTACAAAGCAACATGTGTAGGACTTGCAGGTTCTAATCAAGCAATAAGAATTAAGGATTTATAACTTTCTTGTATTTGGAATCTCATGTTATGACCTCACGATTCTGCATTGATTTTTTTTTTTTTTAGATTAATGAACATGGCAGCAAATGGATGATGAGACGCGGCGACTCGAGCAAATCTGGTGAAGAGGTCATGTCCCCCTGAAATCTTAAGAGCCATTTCAGGTTTACAGTTGGATATGGCCAAGCATAACTTCTTTTTAGTGCACAAGTTGACCCTTCCGCAAAGTTAATTGCTTTAGGAGAAAAAATTGTAGGTGCCTACTGCCTAGAGTACAAGAGGAAATCTGGAAATGGGTTGAGATTGGATTTTTACTTGAGAAGATTGTTCAAGTAATCAACCTTCATCATCCATTTTGCTCTGAAATCATTTATATAACCAACCTTCATTACACATAACGTGGATGACCTGCTTTTGAAGGATTAATTTTATGAAAAAAAAAATGATGTTCTAAAACTTCTAATGCCAGATTTGTTGCGGATGGTACAAGGCATTGAAGGGAATTATTTTTCTTGGATCAGGGCCATATGCAAAAACCCTCAAATAATTCCTTCTGGGAAGTACAAAGATGGTTACTTTTATCTGAGAGGCTGGGGAAAGAGGAAGAAGCAGGAGTTCATGAGGAGCCTGACATTGAACTGGTTATGTGAATTTTAATTCCCCTTTTACTGCATCTTGTTTTCCAAGAATCTTCCCAGTCAAACAAACGAATTTGCCCAACAAAACAGGCAGAGTTCAAGAATCTCCTCCACCGTTCACCTTTTCTGCTTTTATTTTGCAATTGAAAAAAAAAAAAAATACTGGTCAAATTATTGCATATTTTATTGAGAAGCTTGCAGAGAATCTCAGCTCAGCACCCAACATCGAAAACATTTATCCATTTTAACTTCAGCTCTAAACTTTCTGAATCTCTACCGCTCCACAAGAGAAACCCAGATATTCTTCTCCTATTTTCTCGCATGTTTTGAACGGTTGACCTTAACTGTTTGTAATTATGCATGACATGGTGGATTAGGAGAATGACTGAGAAAGGGGAAAATCTCCCCTTGGGTGTTCCCGTGGGACCTTCTACTGTGGTCGAGGGAAGATTCTTCACGCGCATGGTCTGAGATTAGAATAGACTGAACCCCCGAGAAGCTTGGTTTTATACGCAACTAGTGATGCTAATATCACTGTGAAATATCACTGTGAAGCAAATTGTTGTTTTGTTTTCATAAGCAAATTGCTGTTTCTTTAAGTGGCTGGGGTTTATGAGAGGAAAACAATCCTACCCTTATGTTCTCTAGATTTAGATTGCTTCAGTGAGGTCTGCAGTTCAGAGACAGTCATATAAATACCTAACTGGGGTTTTCTCAAGAATTTTCAGTTTGTGAGTTCACTTTCTCCTACCCTTTTCAGTTTTCAGTTCTTTTTGTAGTTAGTTTGCTGTAGAAGCTCCTTGTACCTTTGGCTTTCAAATTTGTTTGGTAGCGAAGTTTTCAGAAACTGATTCTTCTTCTTCTTCTTCTTGATGGCGATTCTGTTTTTGATTTGTTATTGGAATCATAGATTATTGACATAATAGGATGGTGATTATATGTTTGGCATAAATTCTGTTTGTTTTAGGGATTTTGTGACCGTTGTTTGTATGATTAAAAGCATGCTGGCTGCTAATGTTCTATGTCAAGTTGATGTTGGACTTGAAGAATCATTTTAGTCAACAAAAAATTTACTTCTTTAATTTTTGTATGTGTTTTGTGTTAGATATGGATGAAACTGTGGTAGGTTTCTTTTTCTGAAATGCATTTCTGATTGCAGTTCACAAAACAAATTTTTGTTGACGATGTTTCTGCGACTCGGACAGATTGAGTTTTTGGATACTGGCAAAACGAATCCTTCGTGGAAGTTCCTCTTTTTGTTTTTCATCTTTACAGTTCTTTTGTGTTTCGGATCATGATGGTGTTTGCAATTCGGATTTAATAGGCTCTGTTAGATGCAATTTGAAGAATATTCAACATGCAAAAGGGTGCCTTTCCTTCCAATTCTATGCTTGGTTCCTCTTTAGAAGCTGCCATGGATTTGGATTTTATGGATGAACTCTTGTTTGAAGGATGCTGGTTAGAGACCAGTGACGGATTCAACTTTATGCAGCCTGGTCCTTCAATATCTGGTGCTCTAAATGACCCTTTATTGTATTTGCCTTCATCAGGGTCTCATGCTAGTCATATGAGTATTGGCTCACATTATCAAGTGAATCATCAAGAGACAGAAAGAAAAGTTCTTCAAGTTCCTTCTAATCAAAAAATTGAGTACCCTTCTGAAAGCCAGTCTCAAAATCAGGGAGCCTTTGGGGCTGCCACTTCTGTAGTGCAATCTGGGAGTTTTCTAATTGAGGGCACCGAATTGGGCAGTAGATGGTGGATAGGGCCAAAAGCTGAACCAAGCCCTTCATCGTCTGTGAAAGATAGACTAATGCAGGCTATTGGATATTTGAAGGAATGTACAAAAGATAGGGATGTTCTTATTCAAATCTGGGTGCCTGTCAAGAGAGGAGATAAACATGTGCTTACCACTGAAGACCAGCCTTACTCTCTTAATACCAATTGTGAGAAACTAGAACAGTACAGGAATGTTTCCAAAAACTATAACTTTCCAACTGAGGAGGATTCAAAGGAGATAGTTGGGTTGCCTGGTCGTGTATATTTGGGGAAGTTGCCTGAGTGGACTCCTGATGTTCGTTTCTTCAGATATGATGAGTATCCACGAATTAATTTTGCACATCAGTATGATGTCCGTGGATCTCTTGCCCTACCTGTTTTTGAAAGAGGGAGCGGAACTTGCTTGGGTGTGGTTGAGATCGTGACAACTACTCAAAAGAGCAATTACCGCCCAGAACTTGAAAATGTCTGCAAAGCACTTGAGGTCTCTTCTTCTTTTTCTTCCTCCTGGTTCTCTTTTGTTTATATTATTTCTTTTATCATTCAGCATTCTGAAAGTCTCTTTTCCCATAAAAGGAATGTTTTCACCTCATGGACATGCAGGGCCAATTCTTCATTCTTCCTTGTTCTGTATATGAATTCCCTAATCTCATATTGCTTGATCTGTGTTATGCTTAGTCCCACTGGCATTTTAGTCAGTACCTTTTGTGTTATTGGGTTGTCTCTATTTTAATTTACCAACTGCATTGTTCTTTTTCCATATTTTTCTTCATTTTTTATTATAATTTTTCTTAGTTGCATGCGTCCTTTTGCATTTGACCTTTTCCTTTTAAAAGAAAATAAAAAATAAATATAACCTTTCAAAAGTTCCAATGGTCATGGAATGTTAAGAATTTCTTTTCATTTATATGTAACTTATCCTTCATCTGTGAATGACATTAAGAACTTCTTCCTCATGTTCTAGTCTAAATAAAGCATGATTATTTTCAGGCTGTTGATCTTAGGAGTACGGAGAATTTCAGCCTGCCTAATGTTGAGGTAAGTTTATAATATCTTAAGCTGTTGATGCAAGCTTTGAAAATTTTATTATTCATTCTTGAGATTACAGAATATCCTCTTTATTCACAGATTTCCAATGACTTGTACCAAGTTGCATTACCAGAGATAGCTGCAATTCTTAGGTCTGTCTGCAAGTCAAATAGACTGCCTTTAGCTCTAACTTGGGCTCCATGCATACGACAAGGTAAAGGTGGATGCCGACATTCTGATGAGAACTACAAACGTTGTGTCTCTACTGTGGATTCTGCTTGCTTTGTGGCTGATGCAGAATTGTTGGAGTTCCATGAGGCATGCTCCGAGCACCACCTCTTGAGAGGCCAAGGGGTTGTTGGAAGAGCATTCATCACCCACAAACAATGTTTTGCAACTAATATAACTGCCTTTAGTAAGACAAATTATCCTCTCTCTCACCATGCTAGGATGTTTGGGTTGTGTGCTGCAGTAGCAATTCCACTGCATAGCATTTATACTGGATCAGTTGAACTTGTTTTGGAGTTGTTCCTGCCAAAAGATTGTCATGGCAGTGAAAAACAAAAGCAGATGCTGAACTCATTATCCAGTGTCATGCAACAGGCCTGCCGGAGCTTGCATGTCACATTAGACCAAGAGCTTGAAGAAGAGGTCATATTACCAGTTAGGGGAACAATGGTTACATCAGATGAAAGAGCTGATGAAATAGCAATTCAGTTCAGGTCTTCTCCTTCAAAAGAAAGCTCTCCAGAAGAGTCGTCTTGGATTGCCCACATGATGGAAGCCCAACAGAAGGGTAAAGGTGTCTCTGTATCATGGGAGTATCAAAAAGAAGAACCGAAAGAAGAGTTCAAGGTCACAACCAATTGGGACAACACTGAGTTAGAACTATCTAATAAGCAGGTGCATTCAGAGCTCAGGCAAGTTGAACAGAACTCTTGGAGCAAAAGCAGTGTTGAGGGTGGTGGTGAGTCCTCTTATTCAGGTGGCCGTCAGACATTGGGGGGTCAGAAAGCAGGTGAGAAGAGACGAACCAAGATGGAGAAGACAATCAGCTTGCAAGATCTTCGACAGCACTTTGCAGGGAGTCTGAAAGATGCAGCTAAGAGCATTGGTGGTAGGAAATATTTCTGTAAATTTGAAAGCATCTATGTCTCTTTTTAATATTTAAATACTCATTTATTTTCTGATCATACGGCATAAGTTGTTGCCCCATATCACTTAAAACATAAGCAATCAATACTTTATAGTCTACTTATGAAGATTTTACTTCATGGTTGATGATCAAGACATTTTGGCTTGCACATTGGTGCTTTAACACCTCTTTTCACTGACTGTTCATTAGCATTGGAGTGATAGTGTAGATCTCATCCTTGCATTAGCAGGTTCATATTATGTGTTTCTGTTGAGTCTGCTTTAGTCAGCTTAATGAGAATTCTCACCTAGTTTGTTCTCACTGCAGTGTGCCCAACTACTCTGAAAAGGATATGTAGGCAACATGGGATCACTCGATGGCCTTCTCGAAAGATCAAAAAGGTCGGCTATTCTCTAAGGAAACTGCAACTTGTGATGGATTCTGTCCAAGGTGCTGAGGGTGCCATTCAAATAGGATCCTTCTATTCAACCTTCCCGGAATTGAGCTCTCCAAATTTTTCAGGGAATGGTTTATTTCCATCAATGAAGACGACTGGCCATCCAAAGCCATCAAAAGCTAATCCTGAAGGTAGCTTGTTCACTCATGGAGCTGCTGTTCCAAAATCCCCACCCTCTTCATGCAGTCAGAGCTCTGGTTCAAGTACTAGTTGTTCCACTGGTCCAATGCAGCGTAGCACAATAATGAACACCTTGACTGCTGCAGATGGCATGATGGCAGAAGACCCTGACGGGGTACTAAAGAGGGCTCCTAGTGATGTTGAACTGTATGTGTTGAATCAAGAGAGGCCAAAGCTTCTTGCGAGATCACAAAGCCATGAAACGTTTGCTGATCATCCTGGTCTTGAGACTCTACCTTCCTTGCCGAAAAGTGGCACCCAGAATTTACGAGCTGGGGGTGCCTTTAAAGTAAAAGCCACTTTCGGAGAAGTTAAAGTACGGTTCAGCTTGCAATCAAACTGGAGTTTTAAAGACTTGCAGCAAGAGATTGCAAAGCGTTTTAGCATCGATGATTTCAGCAGAATTGATCTCAAGTACTTGGATGAAGACCGCGAGTGGATCCTCTTGACATGTGATGATGACCTTGAGGAGTGTATGGACATATATAAATCGTTTCAAAGCCACACGATCCACATCTCCCTTCACCAGGCTCCTCACCCAAAGTAAGGAAGTTCATTCGGCAGCAGTACTTCAGCATGACTCCATGACCAGCTTCTATTGTATCATCGAGTCAGAGATCAAGAATATAGGTGTTCAGCAGCTTGTTGAATGCCAGGAAATTCTGTTCATGTTTTTGTTTTTTTTTTCCTTCATGAAGGATCATTTCACGTTAGTAAGAAGTATGCAATCTTGGCTTGTAAAGGAATTTGAGTTACAGTCTAGTTGCAGATGAATCCTGTAACCATAAACTCTTCATTAGATGCTCTACCACATCAATCTGTCAATATGCCACTCCCAGTGAGATTGAAAGTATGGTAATTTCCCATCCAAACTCACCATGGAAGAGGTTTTTAATGTGTTACCCTATGGCGAAAAATGATAGTGTAACATTATAAACATAATAGAACTGTAATTTAGCATACCATGGGACGCTAAACTAGAACTTTTAAATGAAGGGCGTGTTAAATATATTTTTGTTTTATGGTTATAGATTTTAAAATAAAAGATTTATATATATTTGAGTTAAAATAACAAAAATTATTGTGTAGTCTAAATTATATAACAAGAATTGTTGGATGAGGGCTGTGCCCCTAACATTGATAGCTCTTCCCCCATCTAATCATCCCTATTATCGGCCTACAAAATAGTAACCCCTGATATAAACAATAACTCAAGTTAGAAGATTTGATTGAAACCAAAAAAAGATAAAGGTCTAAATTAAACATTCACGACAAGCACGAGAGCTGACATGGGTATCTGTCCCATACTTTCTGCCGTTGAATGTCTAACGATTCATCGTCATCATCTGTAACGAACTTTTAGCCGCAGCAAAGACTATGGCTTATTCCACCAAAAAAAAAAGACTATGGCTTAGCTTTCACCAAAAATTAAAAAAGAGACTATAGCTTAGCTGCGAAAATGGAAAACAAGGCGATTCTAAGAGAGTGGTTCGAGCGAGTTGACTCAGAGAAAACTGGAAGCCTCATTGCTTCGCAGCTCAAGGTAGTTTCTTCAAGTTCTCAGTTCAAATTTCCTTTAATTTCACCTGTAAGGCTGTAAACATTGAAGTTTTCGTCATTCTTCGATGATCAGAATGCTTTTGCCATCGGAAACCTCGACTTTCCTGTATCGTTCGTCTAACAAATGATCAGGTCCTCTTTTTTTTTAACAAAAAAAAAAAAAAAAAAAAAAAAAAAAAAAAAACTGTTTCTATTTGTATTTACGTGAATTGGGTTTCTCCAGGATGTATGATTTCGATAGAAATGGTACCATGAGCTTTCACAATTTTTTGTTTTTCTTAATTTTTCATACGATCCTAATCTATCTCTCTCTCTCTTTATTTTTATTTTTATTTTTATCTTTAAAGGATCTAACTTGATCGCTTTGTAGGTCCAGCAAGCTTTCTCAGACTTTGAGAGGTAACCCTGTTCCTTAACCCCTTAGTACTTTAACTTTATGCCACTTCAGTATCTGTATATGTAATATTCATCGTAGGTAGATTCTGCAATTGAAGGTCTTTGATGAATTGATGGCCAAGAAAAAAAGGCTCATTGATGGATTTAGCTGTGGCTATATCATTTTATTTGAATCTTAGTTTTGGTAGTTTACAGTTGGTGCCATATGCAGCTGTTAGCAGCTGTTAACAAAGATTTATGTTTTTAAAATTTATGTGGTCTTGTTCAGTGTAAATCAGGTTAAACATTTGGTTGCTGCATATGCAAGTTGATGGATTATGGATGACTTATGAGCCTCTTTTATTGTTTCATCAAATAGAACTTAAAAATGCTTTAATAATTTTTTGACAGGGGTCGAGGATTTCTTGGCCTTGATGAAGTTTATGAGGTAGTTTCTGAAAGCATGATGCATTTTGTGCCTCTGACTAAGAAAGGGATCTTTTTAAGATCCATTTCATGCTTAAATGCTACTAAGTCAATGCCTGGTATACTGAATCTGAAAGCATTCTATTTTTCTATCCGTTTCTTCTGATTGCTCATTCTTAAACTTGGATACAGGCTTTGATCAAAATTGGTTTCTCTCTGGCCTTCCCAGCTTTTTGTACATTGTGTGAGGTAAAACCATGTCACCTTCATTCCTTGAATTAGATGCATTGTCTGGAGTTCAGGGATGGCTGAACCTGGCATTCTGTAATTGGCGATCAACCTTTTTTTTTTTGTTGGGGGAGGGGGGTGGGTGAGTGATGTAGAACCAGAGAGAAACAGGAGGAAAGGGCGAAGAGAAGTAGAGAATTTAGGGTTGAGGAAAATTATCTCAATTCATCAAAAACCAATTGTAATGTCATAGCTAGACTATTTATATTTATAGGGTACAAACCCTAGGTCCAAACTAAATATGAAAATAATAATAAAGTTCCTGAAATTATCCAAGTACTAAACTAGTACTTAAACTTCCTACGAAAATAACATTGCTTAAACTGCTTGCTGCCTTGAGACAGTGCGCCATCAATGGGGGATCATAAAACTGATGTTATTAGTAGGATGAAGTAGACTTTTTAGTTGCATGAAGTAGATGGTCAGTTTATCTACAATTTGCACAGCTTAATGCAGTTTTATCCCTTCATTAAGAGAAGAGGCTGGGAGGATATCTTCATGCTCTTGTGGCATTAGATTATGAGAAAGCGCCCCTGTTCTCTATTCTTTTCGCTTTCTCTTTGTCTTCTGAAATTACCTAATTTTTTCTCAGGCTCTTCTTTGCTCTGTGTTCTGGTGACATAATTTATATATTGCAATGTTTCAATTTTCAACTGGTTTGATCCAGTTGAAGATGCTGATTGTTTTCATTTCAACAGAGCTTTGATCAAAAGAAGAATTGAAGATTTCGGCTGGATGACTTCATATCTCTATGTATATTTCTGCAGTCGGCTAGGTACGGTATTTATTGGATCTGTAATGCACAAGTCCTTGTTCCATATTGCATGGTCTACAGTTGGTCTGGCATAATCATAGAATTATGGACATTTATGGGACCAATTGCACTCATGTATGGTTTCAAACTGTCAATTGATGTGTTTAAGTTTGTCTATAAGGTCAAATCTAGACCCATGATGCAGAAATGAACACACACATATACAAAGCATTTGCTTAAACTTGCGTACCGTTGAAGATGCTGGACATAATATTTTATACTTAATGTTTGTTTCTTATCTAACCTAATTCAATTTTCTTTTGCTTCTTATTTTTGTTGCTTAGGAATCTATTTAATTCATTTGATACAGCTAAGCAAGGCAGGATTACGCTTGATCTGAACCAATTCGTTTATTGCAGTGAGTACTATAATTTAGAATGACCATTAATTAATTAATTCCTTCCATATTTTTTTATCAAACTGATCCAAGTTTCATTGCTTAAGAGGGAGAATATTCAGCTTTCTGGTTTGGCCTTTGAGAAGTAACAAAAGGAAAATGCTAATATTTTGAATGCTTTTGAACTTCTTGTTAAGATGCGAAAAAATACTTTAGTCTTCCACTCCTCTTAGGAACCTTCCTCTGTCACTGATTTCTTTGTTTTACCTGTTGGTTCCACATCCCCACCAGCATTGGAAAGAATTCGAACCTGCATTTGCTAACTAATATTATTATTATTCTTTTATGTTGATCATGTGTTAATACTATTTCCTTATGTCATCCAGCTGCCAATTGCAGAATATAACATAAAACCATGTGGAGCAAACGTGGTTATCTGCTGCCTTGGTACTTGAAAAAGACACTCCACTCCATACTGTAGCCGTATTTTTTTACTAGAGGTGTCAATCCATTTACTCTTATTTTCCATTTGACTCTAATATTTCATTTATTCTTCCTAATATTTTTCATGTATGGTGTATAAACTTTTTCTAGATTGTAATTTTACTTTGCCAATTCCTAGACTTGTAATTTGATGTTTGAAATTTGGGTGTTGCCTGAGATTACATTTTCTGTGCATCTCATGATCAATTACTTTTCATGTATAGATTAATCCTTTCCTTCTTAAATTCGTCCATATCAGAATTAAGTTTTGAATTTAAGAATTGTAACTTAGATACTAAAGTTTTTATGGGTTAAATAGCAGTAATATTACTTGCCTCTTTTATTTGTGGACAAATTACTAATGAAACCCCACAAGTTTTGATATGAACTTATTTTACTCCATGGTTGTGAAAAGTATTTTTCTTAGGTATTTAACTATGGGTTTTTCTAGTATGTAATGTGCAAATCTGCATTATTAATTGTATATTTTTTTTAATGAGAAAAAAAAATAATAAATGCATTTTTAACATGTATTTTTAGAATATAAATTAGATAAATCTTAATATACTAAAGCTTAATTTTATAAGGAGAAGCTTCTCCACAATCTAAGTGTGTGTGAGTGTAAATTGATAATTTAATGTCCTAAAACAGAAATGAAAGTGAGAAATTGGATCTACTAGCAAATAAAAATAAAAATGATGGTGCCAAAATTGAAATTCAAAAAGTCTAAGGGGTTACTAATCATTACACGTAAAAACAATAAATTCAGGATTAACAATTAAGGACGCAACGATTGAAACAGGCCCACGCGCCCAGTACATGCGAAGGCGGTAGAATTTTACTCTGATTTCTAGCTCCAATTTCAGGAAGGCTTTCTAGGGTTTCTAAACGAGAAGTTCTTCATCTCCTCTCCATTCAGCTCTCTGTTTGGTCAACGGGATCAGCAATTGTCATTCTGCGATTTCGATTTCTATTTCAATTTCGCAGGGAAATGCTTTGATTTCTGGAAGTTCCGATTCAATTATGCTGTTTCTGTCTGAGAGTGAGGAGCAGAAATTTGAAGTGGCCGGAGTGTTGTGGCGGATGAAGATAGCGGATTATCTCTCGTCTAACTCTCCTCCTTTATGGGCGACTTTGATAGCTGGTGTCTTTTTAGTCATTACGCTTTCACTCTCGATGTATCTTCTCTTCGAGCACCTCAATGCATACAAAAATCCTGAGGTTTTTTCCCATACTTATTCTTGGGCTAAATTTTCTATTTGTTATTGTGGTTTTGTTTTTAGTGGGTGTTTTTATGCATTGCAGGAGCAAAAATTTTTGATAGGGGTTATCGTTATGGTTCCTTGCTATGCTGTAGAATCTGTAAGTTGCTTCATTCTTGTCTTTGCACTAAGATTCTCAGTTGTTGAATATATTGCAGTAATGCATGTATGCCAATGAGATTTTGAAAACTGCAGCATCTTGCTTGGATGCTTAAACTTTTTGAGAAAAATTAGTAGTTTTGAGATTATCATATATGTGTGGTAAGAAATCTGTATATATTCACTGGCAATCGGGCATCTGGCTTGAAAATGGAAAACTGCATATGTTAGCAAATGGGTAGTTCCTTTAAATATGTTCCTTTTCTTTTAGGTCTCATAATTTGTAGTTAAAAATTGGTATTTTGAGATGATGGATTATATCTGGCTCTATAAAAGCATATTCATGTTAATCTTGAAACCTGAGAACTTGTTGCTAAAGATGACACATATGGACATATGAAATTGGACCATTTGAAGTTAAGTAGATTTTGCTTGAATTTTCAATTTTAACAGTTTAGTAAAATTAGATGTTCTTGAGGGTGTTGAACATCAAAAATCTGTTTTAAAATTGCTACAATGAATCTCGAATTCAGACTTTGTGTTGCTACCACATTGAGACCTTCTTGTAGTTGAATTCCATTCTAAACTGTTTAATGAAGTTTTATTTTTGAGATTATGGAAATGTTGCAGTGAATATGTTTAAGATATCTAGCATCAACTGAAAAGATCAGGTAACTATTTTTATTTTATTTTAAAGACTTAAAAGTAATTTGTTTGTTAATTTTGTCTATTAATTTATGTTGATAGTTATAATTTTTTCCTGGGTCTAGAATTATTTTTAACATTTTAGGTATAATTTTAGCAGTCTATAATATGGTTTCTGCACTATGCTTCTAGCACATCAGTATATTATTTCTGTTTTCCTAACTTGTATTATTCTTAATAGTTTGTATCGCTGGTGGATACTTCAATTAGTGTTTATTGTGAGATACTAAGGGATTGCTATGAATCATTTGCCATGTATTGCTTTGGAAGATATCTTGTTGCATGCTTAGGTAAGTTCTCTTCAATAGCCTTAACAGATGGCTAAAATTCTGTGGATCAATCTCGTATGTAATTCTGTTGCAATTTAAGATTTCCTATTTGGTTGCCTAAGCCTTTTATTGTTAGCTTTGTTTACATGTTTAGATAGCTTCTGCAGTCTGATGTTATTTTCTGTTGTTTAAAGTAGACCTTTGAATACCTTGCTGCTCATATTTTAGATCTTGAATCTTTAAAATCTTCTAAGATCTATCTAACAACCAATGTGTTAATGTTAAAGTCTATAAGTTTATTCTAGGGGCTACTATCCATTCCACCCTTGTGGATTATGTAATGATTTACTGCCATAAATAGTTGCTTTTCACAGTAGACCTCACTCTTGCACCCAGTAGCCTAAGCTCTTACCATTTTGCCAGAAAGTTGTGGATAACGCTAGTCAAGGTTCTTTTGTGCTAAAAATGTGGTTTCATATTTGTGTGACAAACTATGAAATATTTAGCTATTGATGAGTTGGTAAAGAAGTTCAAAGAGTGGTGATCATATACTTTTTGCAAATGCATTTTTGTACGGTAATACAGAATCTTCTCCTAAAAAATCAAGGCAGTTTCTTTGCAATTATGTTATTGAAAAAGTCTTGGGTTTTGGAGATACAAGGCCCTCGTGCAACTTGGATGTTAAAGGGCAACAGTTCTTTTTGTTCTTTAATATTAGAGGCCATTTGCTCTAGATATTCTGTTTAAACATTTTCTTTTAAAGAATTTTCTCCTTGTGCCTTCTTGACTTGATTAGACACAGGACTGATATTCAGTAGTATCTTTTTCTGCTCTTTGTTTTCCTTTTTCTTTTCTTAGGTGGGGAAGAGAGGACAATTGAGTTCATGGAAAGACAAGGACGGGCAAAAGCTCCATTGTTAGGATCTGATTCTGAACCAGGAACTGTGAAACACCCTTTTCCTATGAATTATGTCCTGAAACCATGGAAACTTGGCCAATGGTTTTACCAAGTTATCAAAATTGGCATTGTTCAATATGTATGTGCTCTTTAGCTTGCTAAGATGGAGTATTATTTTGCTTCTCGTATTCTCTTTCCATTTCTTTTTCTTACTCTTAGTCTTAGCAGAGTTCACTTTTATGCTTTATTGGCAGATGATAATCAAGTTGTTGTCTGCTCTTTTAGCATTGATTCTTCAAGCTTTTGGAGTCTATTGTGAAGGTGATTTCAAACTGACTTGTGGGTAAGATGATCTCAATTCCCTATCATTTTTGCAAAGTATATTGTAGCTGCCTCATACTAGTAATTCTCCATACTTGTTATGTTTTACTTAAATGGAATGGCTGGTTCAATTTTATCAATTTTATTCTGGTGAACATTTATTATTGGAATTTAATCTTATAAAGGTTATTCTTAAAAAAGACAAAATTCTGATTTTCTCAGCCTTTTCCTGATTCTGTAGGTATCCCTATATGGCAGTGGTCCTCAATTTCAGTCAGTCATGGGCTTTATACTGTTTAGTTCAATTTTATGCTGTCACAAAGGATGAATTGGAACACATAAAACCATTGGCCAAGTTTTTGACGTTTAAATCCATTGTGTTTTTGACTTGGTGGCAAGGTGTGGCAATTGCTATTTTTTATTCCCTTGGTTTATTTAGAAGTGTAATTGCCGAAGGCTTGTCAAAGTCAAGCTTCCAAGACTTCATCATTTGTATAGAGGTAGATGTCTTCAATTACCTTTTACAGATATATTTCTTCTAGTTGATGATTAAAGCCATGTTCAATAAATCTTATTTTGTTTTAATGAAAGTTTCTCTTCATTCTCAATTGCCACATGGTGACATATATGATACAGTAGCATAAATTTTTTCATTATCATCTGAGGCCTTTTGCTGCTGCATTTCAACATCAACAACTAGAATTGCTTGGTTCACTGAATTATGCATTTTGCCAGTTAAATGAATTCCCTATATGCATGTAAATGGGGGCCTTGCGATTGTTGTTGATCTAAATCCAATAATGAATTCTCATTGAGGTATTTGTATTTCTCCAGCACAGATGGGTATTGCTTCTATTGTTCACCTGTATGTATTCCCTGCAAAACCTTACGAGCTAATGGGAGATCGCTTTCCTGGAACTATTTCTGTCCTCGGAGACTATGCATCTACTGATTGTCCTCTGGATCCTGACGAGGTTAGGGACAGTGAAAGACCAACAAAGTTGCGCTTGCCTCAGCCTGATGTTGATGTTAGAAGTGGAATGACCATCAGAGAAAGTGTGCGAGATGTTTTTGTTGGTGGTGGTGAATTTGTAAGTTTTATCCATTTTAATCTAATGACATAATTTTATCTTAGATGTTATGTGACATTACCAAGGTCATGATTACATTTGTACGTATCGTTCTGAAACAAAATAGTATATTGATTATTAGGACTTTTTTCCCTGAATTATAATTGATGAATAATAATGAACTGGGATTTTGGAGAAACTGCCAAAGAGTGGGGGAGGATAAATATGGAAGTCAGTAGCAGATGTTGCCATAAAGGTGATTGAAATGAACTAATAGCATAAAATATCCTAGCTAAATCTTCCAAGGTGGAATTTTCCCTTTTGTATGAGATTGTGTATTCTTTAAAGTTCCTTTTTCCACTTCCCACCTGACCATGCTCCTAATAATTTTTGTTTCTCGTGTAGAGTGAAATCCTACCAACTACACCAAGCCTGTGTGTAGGAAACCACACATTTCAATTCCTAGTATACATGCACGTGGCAAAACCTGAAATTGTAACTCAAAATATTCCATTTAAACCCTATTCAGATGCCCTTTCATATAACATGGCATGTTGTCTAGATTGCATGTTTTTTGGCTGATCTTTTGATCACCATGGTCTATTTCTTTAAATACATATTGAAATTTGAAATTATTCCTTTGCTGAACCTGCTGTTTGTGTCTGCAGATTGTGAATGATGTAAAATTCACAGTAAACCAAGCAGTAGAACCTGTGGAGAAGGGGATTACAAAGTTCAATCAGAAATTACATAAGATCTCCCAACACATGAAAAAAGATAAGAGAAGAACTAAGGATGATAGCTGCCTTGCATCAACACCCAGCCGGAGGGAGATTCGTGGTATAGATGATCCCCTGTTGAATGGGAGCATGAGTGATAGTGGGGTTGCAAAGGGGAAGAAACACCGCCGGAAATCAGGATATAATACAAGTGGGGAGAGTGGGGGAGAAAGCAGTAGCGATCAAAGTTATGGTGGGTATCAAACCAGGGGCCAAAGATGGGTCGTCAAAGATTAGCCTAGATGGATGGTGTTGTGAAGATATAAAGGAAAAAATTTGCGTGATGGTAACCAGCTCATGCATAATTTGCAGGTTCCATTAGTAGCTTCATGAGGAGGCTGGCGGTTATGCTTCCTGTCAAATTTGCAGCTGGTTGTTTTAGCAGGGATCTGATCAATGTTTGGCCATCTTCACGCATAACTAGTTTCTATACTGTAAAGATTTTGGAATGAGGCTTGGTTTTTATCAAGAATGAATGGAGTAATGCAATGCATGGTCGGGCATCCTTTCTTATTTTTTAAGAGATGCCCATGTTTTGTGCCCCTGTCAAGCTTGGCAATTATTGTAATGGTTTTGACTTTTGAGACATTTTGAGCAGATGTTATTATCTATTTGCCCCCCATCCAGAAAATGTTGCATCTCATGCTCTCTTGCAATCCGATACAATGTACATTTCGTCAACCATTATAGGCTGATGCCAGTTCCTTGAGACATGGTAATTTATAATTGAAAAAGACAAATATAGCCATGTTAAAATCAATAAATCATCCAACCACAAAAAGGCTCACAAGGGGTTTTTGCTTTGGTTGTGAAATAATAACTTAGGGCGGCCAACATATGAATCAATACGGTTTTAGCTTGAATTCACTTGGTAAATAGGTATTGTTTTCATTTTAAAGATTTAAGGGTGCATTTGGTATTGATGTGAGGTATGTAAATGTAGTAATAGTTATAGTTGTGTTGAATTATATTATACTGTAACTGTGAATAAAAGTTATTTTAGTGTTTTATTATTTATTTTTTAAAAATATTATTTTAAGTTTCTTATGATGGATTTTTTTTTGGACTTTTTAGGATAACACATAGGGAGGGAATAAGTTTTTAATTTTTTATAAAATCTTCAAATAAATAAGAAGTTAAGTTTAAATAAAATATTATAAGTTATAATGTAATTAAATTAAATAAGATTTTATTTTAATAGATAATTTTGTAATTGTATTAAATATTAGATGATGTTCAAAAAAGTTACCGACAAAAAGCTCGTAAACAAGATTTTTGATTTTATATATAAAATTATTATAAATCTGTTATAACTTTTTATAACTTAAAAAAAATTGTTTAAAAAAAATTACCAAACACATATTTATCTAAAAGCATTGTATAGCTTACAAGAAAAAGCTCCTATTCACAATCCCAAACACGTCCTAAATTTAAGATTTAGGTCTTAGACTAACATTTAAAAAAATTAATTTTCTAAAATACATTAAGGGTATGTTTAGGAATGTTATAAAGTGCTGTACTTGTAGTTGTAGTTGTGTTATAACTATGGTTGAAAGTTACTTTAATGTTTGGTTATTTATTTCTTAAAAGTATTATGGATGAAATATGATAAATTTCATTAATTATTAATTAAAATTTTAAAAATATTGTAA